GGTGGGGGCGAAGGAGGAGGGCAGAGAGAAAAGAAGCACGGGAGAAAGAGCCAAAGGATCTCATCAACAGCCCCCATTTTGGCTTCCCTAAGGCCTCTCCTTAGACCAAATCCCAAGAATCCCTATCCCCACAAAATGAAGAAATTGTTTTCAACTTATGCAGTAAAAGAGAGTAAAGATAGGGGAATCTATCCTAAAGGGAAGTATCCCCATGGTTCAAAGTATCGATACACCTATGTGTATCGGTACTTTAAACCATACTCCTTTCATTTGATTTTAGTTTTTTTTCAAGCTTTAGCTTTAAGCATTATATATATATATATATATATATAACTTTAAAAAAAAATGGTTTCCCCAAAAACACCCATAAACAGGTGTACCGGGGACCAAAAGATACAATACAATATGTCCACTAAGGAGCGTATCGTATTGATACTTTGAACCTTGAGTATCCCCAATCCAAATGTCTTCTCAAAAGCTCAAAAGTGCACTTTAGTACCAGAGGTCCAGAACAAGCATCATACCTTATGAAAGGAACGAAAGAGGGTAGAGTGCCATGAATAGCTTTCCACAGAGAAGCATGTGAAGCCTAGGGTCAAGTCCAATATCCCAGCCATTTTCTACCAAACCATGGTTACTCACTATCCCCTTGTGACATAACCTCTCCTGCTCAAGGGATAATCTCCAGACTCCAGAGCCACTTCCCTTAAAGTGCTAGATTTCTTTTTCTAATGTTTCCAATCCCTAGCCCCCTTTGTTTACTCCTAGAAACCACCTCCCACTTCACCAAGTGATCCTTTTTTTATTTCATCAAGTTCCTACAAAAAATCCCTCATTATTTTTTTCTAACTTGTTTGTATCCTTTGCAGGAATGTGAAAGTTGGAGATGGAGTATACCGGCAGATTTGCAAGAGTAGACTTGGGCGGTGTTTGGAACCGTGGGCGCTTATTGAATAAATGCTGCCACATAGGCACCACTTCAGCATTTCCCTCATTATGTGGATCCGTACGGATAGAGACTTACAAAAGCAAGCATTGATTTATGTGTGCACCTACTGTTTGGGGAAGCTTCACTTTAGCGCTTCCCCCAACGGGTAGGCATTTATTCACTGTTTTGCTGATGTGGTGCCTAATGGTGCCTAAGTGTCAATAAATGGATTCATTATTGCTTTTCTTGGTTTTGCAAGCAAATCAAGTACAAGCATTTAGTGAATAAATGCCCACAGTTCCAAACACACACTTGATTAAGGTGATTCTTCCCCCAAGTGAAACATAATTCCTTTTCCAACCCGCTAACTTCTTCATCAACCTTTCTAGAACTGGGTGGGTACTAGAAAGCCTTAGAGTTTGTGTTCCCCCCCCCCCCCCATAGTAGACCCAAATAACTCATAGGCCAATCACTCACCCCACAACCCAAAATGTAAGCAAACCTAAGAAAAGAAACCAAAAATCTTTCCCAACTTCTTTTATGTCAACCATCATCTTAAAATCAAGTGCCTTGTCTACCTTGAGAGATTAATCCGAAATATCTAAGACACTTAT